TCGCTGCCTTCCACGAATGGATGTATGGGATAAATGGTGACTGATTCCGAGTCTCTCAGTGGTATCCAGGCAGAGGAAGGAAAGGGTGTGATTGCAGGCTCTCCTGTTCAAGAGCCTGGAATCCTCTAAGCTCTCTGAGTTTCCCTCCAGCCTTTAGGTTGCAGAGTAGCAGCCCTCACCCCTGTGCAGGCTAAAGGTCACAGCAGGGCAAACAGTGAAGGCTTGGGCCGGGCAGTGGAAGCAGTGACAGCCCAGAGCAGAGTGTGAGGGAGGGAAGCTGTACAGGCGATGAGTGGAAGAGCCCTGTGGCAGCATTTAGTACAGCGGTTCTCAGCCTGTGGGTCGCGACCCCTTTGGCGGTCGAACGACCCTTTCACAGGAGTCCCCGAAGACCATCCTGCATATCAGATATTTACATGACGATTCATCACAGTAGCAACATGACAGTGATGGAGTAGCAACGAAAATAATTTTATGGTTGGGTCACAACATGAGGAACTGTATTTAAAGGGCCAGAAGGTTGAGAACCACTGATTTAGTATGAGGGCAGAGAAGAGTACCTGCAGCACCAGAGAATCCTGATGGCTCTTGGTATGGCCATCTGCACCAGTTACTATTGCTGTATCATAAACTGTCCCAAACGTAGGAGAGTGAACAATTTCTTCTACTCATGGATTTTCTAGGTCAGGAATTTACAAACGACCTAGTAGGGTGGCTTGCCTTCGCTCCATGAAGAAGGCCTGGGATAATGTGAGGCTGAGGCTGGAATCATCCCAAGGCTGATTGGCTCCAATGTGTGCTTCCGGGGCTGGGAGGACTCGCATAAGGACAGCCAACTAGAATGCTGTACTGTGATTTCTCCATGGGGCCTCAGGGAACTGGACTCCTTATATGATGGTTTACAGTTCCAGAAGCCAGTGCCCCAGCCAGCAAGATGGAAGCTACATATCCTTTTCTTTCTTTAAAAAATTTTTTTTAATCCTTATCTGAAGATATTTTCCCATTGATTTTTAGAGAGAGTGGAAGGGAGAGGGAAAGACAGAGAGAAATATTGATGTGAGAGAGAAACATCTGTTGGTTGCCTCCTGTATGTGCCCTGACCAGGGGTCAGGCCGGGGAGGAGCCTGCAACGGCCTCCCCTTGACTGGAATCAACCCAGAACCCTTCAGTCCGCTGGCAGACACTCCATCCACTGAGCCAAACCGGCCAGAGCCATACCTTTTTCTGACCTAACCTTGGCTGTCTCACAGCATCACTTCTGTGAGTTTCCATTGGTTATAACGAGTTGCTAGGGCCAGCCCAGATATAAGGGGAGGGGACAGAGACCGTAACCTCTTGATGGGAAGAGTGTCAACGAAGTGGTCAACGTGTTTTAATGCTGCCATATCACCCTGATTGTGGGATTGGCAGGTGACTTTGTCTCCAGGTTTTGCTCCTTTCCCAGGCTGGCATTTCCTGGGCAGGCCAAC